CTTCAAACGCTGCCACTGGGTAATGGTGAAGCCCGATTAAAATTCAGCAGTGTTGATTTTTAAAAATAATTCCTCTGGTTGGTTGTGAGTTTCATCTGGTCCTGTGTACCCAGACTGAACTGGACTTCAAATGCACTCAGCAACAGCACTGCTGTTGCTGGAGCTGTGCATTGGTGTCTTCTCAAGGCAAAAAGAGTCCTACTACTGTCATTTTGAAACTACTAGTCTGGGAAACACAACCTACTTGTACAGAAAGAAATCAGTGAAATTACCCTCCTAGCTTTTTCAATTTTTATTTTAATCTAAAGCACTCCAAATAAAACTGATTAAAGAATCATGTGCTTAAGGACTAGTGGGGAAGAATGGAAGTTCACTGATTAAATTTAATAGCTTTAAAGATGCATTGCAACATCCCTTGACTCTTCACTAGAATTTAAACGATCATATGTAGGAAAACTTTTGGTTTTCTACACGTTAATATGTGCGTGCATTTTTCACTCGTATGTGAAGCTGGAGGTATGGTATGTCTGTGAACTTTTCTTACCAGTTTAGAGTCATGCAAAATGAAATGGTCTTCCTCCTCTTCTCCTTTTTTTTAAACTGAGCTGTTAGGAGAGGGGTTTTCAGGCTCCCTCGGCATTAGCAGAGCTCTGTTCCAATGGAAGGTGTTAGCAGTCGTGCATTGTTGCCCAGAGGAGCAGACGCTGCTGAGTGGTTTGGACACCACCGAGCCTTTCCTCTAAGGCTGAGTGAGATGAAGGCTTCAGCAGAGGGGTTGCAGGAGGAGGCTCCTAGGAGCCAGCTTTCAGTCTTGCTATGTGTCACCAAAACTTTGTGAAAAATAAAGCTCTCTAACGCTATAATTTTAGTATTAGAAAGCAGGCATTACTTTATTTTGGCACTAGGTGCGTCTATGTCACGTGGACTTGGAGTGCGTGCACCAAGTACCGCAACGCAGCCTGCCTTAGCGTGGCAGCTGCCCATATGTGGCTGGGGAGAACGCTGGATGCAGCACCCCCCATACTTCTGGGTGGGAAGCTCCTGAACTCTCCTTGAGCTGCTTCCCGGGTCAAGGAAAGCGAGAGAGGTGAAATCCTGCTTGTCCTCTTGGAGACTGCCCCTGAGTAATCCCAGTACACAAGCACAGCAGCATCCAGCTTGTGTCCTGCCTGTTAATCTAGAGCCATGCCTTCTCTATTTTAGAGATGCATTTGGGTTCTTTCAAGCCATCTTTAATCTTTATCTTTCTCAGCAGGTTTGAGACAATTTGAGAAAGAACCATAGAAGGCCACTGAAGATGCTGGACCAATCAGCTGGGGGGGGGAAAAAAAAGGAAAAAGTGCTAAATTTTCTTTTTATATTTATGTTTATTTACCAAAATGTCTTTTTGCATTATCCCAGTTAAAACCATGTATATTAGCACTGTATTTAATAATCAGTCTAGACATTCATCATAATAGTACTGCCTTTGCACAAGAGCCTTTATTCCTAAAGAAACCCATGCTGTGAAATATATAGACTCTCCTACTGATAGTCATAACTATGTATCTGAACAGTGATTTCAACTGGCATAAGAGGTCAACCCAAAATGCATGTAAAGTGAAGTTGCTTAAGAAAGGTGTGCAGTAAACCTATGAAAACAATGGTTACTTTTGTAATACAGAAGTCTGTCTTTCTGCACTTTAGACTAAGGCATGGAAGAAATATCTTTAGTTGACAATGTAATATTTTCTGTAAGTTGCCCATGTCATGAGAAATACTGCATCAATAACGTGTTTTAATTTTTTTGTTTTATACTTTAAGTATCAGTTTTTCCATTCTAGTTTAAGTTAATACCTAAATTTGGATGATTATGTTAGCTGACAGCGGTACTGATATTTCTTTTTGTTGTTAGTGACTAGTAATTGAATGCAATTTAGAATATATACACACATAGCTTTACAAAGTTTAGCCTAAAGGCACTACTAATGGTAGAATGCTTTAATACGTGCTAAAGTATTATATTTAGTAATAAACATACATAATTAGCCAATATCACAGCTTAAAAAAATAAAGACAAAATCACACACTTTTCTATAGTAAGATTTCATAATTACCATTAGAGGTATGGTGAGATAAGTATTAAAAAATTGTAAATGTCAGTTGCCCTCTAACGGGTAATTAAAAAGAAAGTATAGTTTTTAAAAGAGGAAAAGGTAAGGGTATAGAGGGTCAAAAATAGGTCACTTGTATAAAACATTGTAGTTTAATTTATATAAAACTACCATAATTAAAAAGACAAAAAACCTAAACACAGTTGGAGCTTCTTTCAAATGACTGTACACCAAATCTTGCCATCCATCAGTGCTGTACACTAAGTCCACCTGAAATGACGTAAACCTCTATAGTGCTTCTTTTTAACTCTCTCCCAAATATCTTATTTACAGATGTGTTCATTTGTATATAGTACACACATGGCTATAAGACGACAGCTTGGTTTGAATTTACATGCCATACAGTTTAGCATTTACATCCTACAGTGTATGGGTGGCATAAACTAAGCAACTGAAGTAGCCCCTGAGCATGTTGTTAACAGCTTTGCTGTGCATCAGAACTACCAGGATCTCCCTTTTCACCACTTCCATCTCTTCCAGCATCAGACTTCTTCCTAAAGAAGAATAATTTTATATTTCAACCCAAAGATGATCTCCCCTGCTTGGCTGAAACATCTTGTTTACATATAGAGATGCACGTAGTTATCTGTAGGGGGTGAAACTGTGCCTGACATTGTCTGGGAGTTGTCATGTTTTTTTGTTTGGGGGTTTGGTGAACACTCCTCTGAATCTTTCAAATACATCTGCTAGCTGCAATAAAAATTATTTGTTCAAATAATGTATTCTGAAACTGCATCCACAATAAATGGAATATTTCCATCAGCAGCCCTCTGTTTGTTAATGAGTAGGAATGAGCCAGTTGTTGTAACTGGAATAGGAAGTGTGCTAAGGCTGATAAGGTATCATTGCTAAGAAGCTCGAAGGATGTCTCTCCTGATGTACTATTCTACAGCAGACACACAAGTTGTAAAATCAGTGGCTTTGACCTACGTGTTCTTAAGGGGGAAAAATATATCTTAATTGTCATGCCTGTCAGTACAAGATGGGAGCTGTGCATCACCGAGAAGTCAGCATACTCAGCAAAGTAGATTCTGACCTAGCAGTACAGCCGTCTGCTTTCCTGCTTTGAAAAATGTTTTCTGCGAGAGAGCTGTCATGTTTCTTCTGTCTGCTGTAGTGGGATGTGCTTCCAGGCTTGGATGATCACGGGGACCAAGCCTGGGGAGCTCCTGGATCTGCTGTTCTCCGATCTCCTTAATTTTTGCTCTAACAGCAGCACAGCACATAATGCCCTGCTCTAACCAGGTCATGGTCATCTGGAAGAGGCCCTCCAGGCTGCCGTGAGCTCCACTGGAAGCAACAGGAAGGCTGCAGCAAGCACAGCTTTGTGAGCTACTTGGGGAGAAATAATCGGATGCTGCCTAATTTAACCTGAAAAGAGCTTGTATGCTTGGAAGTGTGCCTGTTCTCCTGCCTTGCATTGACCAGCTACGTGCTACATTTCTCTGCAAGCTTTGCTGAAGTGATGCTTTTCCATGTTGATGTAGATAAGTTTCTTTGGCTCCTGCTTATTACATTTTCTGAGAGCATGGAAGCGTGCTGGCAAAATTGCTTTTCCTTTTAGGAAATACTGTAAAGTGGTGTGGTCCTGGTTTGTTCCCACCACCTGGCACCACCTCCTGGCAGAATTTGCCAAAGACAGATCCTGGTGTCAGCAGTGCTGCAAGTTTTTTTGGTGTTTTGATACCATTATGAGATGATGATTTTTCAGACAATATCACATTGTCAGCTTAGTTTCTGATCATGCTCTCCTGCAGCTCCCTTGGCATCCTAGCTAGACTTTCTCTTGTCAGGGTGCAGAATGCCACAAAACAGCCTTTTTCAAGCCTGCCTTTGCTTTGGCCTAGCAATATCAACCTGAAAATACTTTAAAGCAGTTGTGAGTCTACCTTGAGCTTTGCTTTGGTGTTTGTAAAAAAAAAAAAAGTTTTTCCTCTGTTTTCCTTAGATAAAGCCAACCCTTGTCTAGTTATATCATTCTGAATGCTGCCAGCAGAGTTGCAAAAATCTAATTTTGTGTTTGAGACTGCTAGAGCAAGTCAGTTGTCTTTGTAGGTAGCCCTTAAGTTTGGCTGGGTGGATTTTGATGCATGTTATCACTGCGTATGATGCTATCTTCAGCTTTTCACCACTAACCACATGAGTTCAATTTCTAGGTGTTCAGAGGGCTATGTGAGGTAATAGGTACAACTTTGTTCTTTAGGTTCTAGCTAGAGCACGATCCTGTTTGATGCATAAGCCACAAAGTAGTCTCTATGTATTATTCTTGTACAGGAATTACAGAAGCCCATTTCTATCTGTATTAAAATTTTTAAAAAACCAGACTTCAGGCATGTTTTTATAACTAATTGTGTATGAAACAATTTAAGCACTACACTGATTAAGTTTTGTTGTTACTCAAACTTTATTCATATAAAATTTTAACGCATTAGAGATTCACACTATAAAAATCACAACTATGTAAAAAGCAAAGTAATTAAAGAGAGCGTTCCTTGACAGCAACTCATGAGACAGTAGGACCGACTGCAGTGGAAATAACATATAAAGAACCACGTAAGTAACAAGAGATTTTGTTAAACATGTCTTTAAGGAAGACAAGGAAATCAAGAGACATTGTCTTTTTACTATTAATCAAAAACAAAACCAGATTTCTGCTAACCATCTTTACAAAAGACTCATCCCTATCGATGCATTCTTATACCAGCTAGTGGTCTCCTGCTAAAAAAGGAGGACGTGTAACTGTTTGTAATGATTGTCAAGTACAGAAGAAGAAATCAAGACCAAGCTACAGAGTACATCTTCTACTCTGGAAGGAGTTACATGGAGGTCTCGCAGAAACCACTGGCATTAATATTCTGCTTTGAATGGGTAGTCCTTGTGATTGACAGCTCTGAGAAGAGAAAGAATTGGTTATTTATTGTAAAAAGTATTGTAGAAAGTATCTTCAGCAGCATTTCTCTACTGCAGTTCTCCCTCCCCCGTTGCCAATGTACTCAAGTTTTGCTGCTGTCATTAATTTGGACACAGGCTTGTGAACAAGGACATGCAACACCAAGACGCTGAAGGGAATACCATGAATGAATCTCCCTCCTGACATCAGTTCCAGGACATGTCATGTTACCTGTGGGCCAGGGTTTAAGAGAGGAGATCTCCCTGGTTTTGGTCATGTATGTTTTCAAGATATGGGGGATGAAAATACAGATAGAGATAGGCCTAGTAGATAATAAGGAACATACTGGAGCACTGGAACTGCCCTCCAGTTCCTGTTAAAGCTGAGGATGATGTCCATCTCCTTTTTAGACAGTTCAAAGTCAAACACCTAGCAGGGAAAACAAACACAAAAACACAGCCTTTTTACTTAGCTTCATGAGTAGTTAGCTACTAAGTGTGCTTCATGTGTTTACGATCTGAGGTAGGAACATACTGCATCCACACTAAGCATAGTTAAGAAATCCTCTCATTTCTCAGCCAAATAACACCAATTTACCCTTGAAGTAATCAAGGGAGTCCTTTTTTCTATGAGGCGCTGTTCATAGTGATGTCTTACAATTCTGAGTGGTTGAATGCAAACACAACTGCAGTTTCTGTTGTAAGGTACAGACAGAAAACTTAAAGTGGTAAGGATGGATTACTCAGTGTGTCACAAAAACTGGAACTAGCAGTAAATATTTCTGCTACCACAGAGGACTACTACGTACCAACTGCAAATAGTTGTCTTACAGTTCATCAGTCATCTAAGAATTCTTCCTGGTGGTTCATAGGAAAAGTTAAGTCCAAAATGTAGCAGCATGAATTGAAAGTAACACAGAGATATCATCTAAGATGCCAGGCCTTATGAGCAAATATCCAGCTGAATCCACAGCCTCAAAGTGAGACATAAACCATAACGGGTCTTGTGTTTGTAATTTGTTCCTTTACACCCTAAAGAGGGGCTCACTAAGCATTTCCCAGAGGGACAGTCCAAAACTGGGATTCCCTTTCCAGGGCAGCAGAGCTCGGACCACCCTGGTGTAACCCATGTCTCTCTCCTGGCAAGAACAAAACGCTTTTCCTCAGAGAAAGAGTGCAGAGGGTTAGATGAAGCCCCAATCTTTACATCTCTGTGCTCTCCTTCCAATGTCTCTTAGGTGCTGCTTGGAAACATGGAATAGATACAGGTGTGGGTGCCTATCCTGTGTAAAAAGGTAGCAGTAGTCCCAATGGAAACTTCACCTTGATGTTTTCCTCAACACGCTGTAGTTTGTCAGACTTGGGAATGACAATTACATCTCTCTGGATAAGAAACCGGATCAGAATCTAAGAAAGGGAAAAGAGGAGCATGAACACAGGGGTACCAAGAAATCTGTTCAAATGCATTTTGTGTTCTCTCTTTTTTTTTTTTTTTTAATGCATAAACCAGGTTTTTTTTCTACAACCGTGTTCACTCTTTGGAACACTCTACCAGTTTGCACACAGGGGGTTTGGTGTGCCAGCACTTGCTTGCAGTCTACTGACAAACTGTAATTGTTCCTGGCCTATGTTATTTCTACACCCTGTCTTCTCCAGGATTTGTTTTGTTTTCTTTTGGGGGTGAGGGGGGAATGATGATGCTTCTGGCTTGTGTTATATGGGTGCTCAGACCAAATGAGCATAATGATACTGCAGATAATTTTGGGCTCACAGGTAAGTACCTCAAATAGGTTAAGCTTTTTGAAGTCCTTAAAAGGAAAAACGTATTTATAGATTTTAAAAGATTCCCCCCCGCTTCAGAAGAGGACAGTTGCATACGATTTTTTGTCATGCTCTGCCTGCCTTAAAATGCGACTGTGGTTGATTGCTTGTGAACATGTGGGTTGGTTTCAAGTGCAGTTTCTGAGCACCCTGAACAAGAACTCATGTTACTAGCAATGAATAGAGAAAAAAATTCATCTTCAATAATCAAGCAGCTTTCAATGATTCTTTGTGAACATGAGCAAAGAGGGAGCAATCAAACAAGTCTGTAAATTACAGGACTTCTCTGAAGAATAACTTAGCTAGAGAAAGGAATAACATATTGGCTTGATAATTTGTATGTAAACCTCAGAGGAAAGAGTTCTGTGGGAGCAAGCACTTGTCTCTGGGATCAGAGGAAATCTCCCAAGGAAGGGAAACACCTGAGGTAAGCACGTACCACTGCTGATCATCACCCCCCGCCAAAATCTCAGCACTCAAGACCTCTTAGAAAATATCTGATAATTCATATGAATGCTGGTAAGAACTGGGGCAACATGAAGAGTAAAGTGCAGTTCAGGCCCATTATACTGTATCTCTAGAGAAGGCAGCATCTGCTAAGACTGGCCATCAGCCTGTAACAATGTTTGAGGAGGAAGAATAGTTTGCCCTGACAACCCCACTTACCTGGGCAGGGGTTTTATGATGTCTAACTGCAATCTCTTTAATCCTGGGATCATCCAGCACCACAGGTTCCCCTGGCTTGGCCCTATTAAAAACAAAAGCCAGGATATAGATGGTAGAAAGATATTATCTTCCTTGCAGAAAGCCTGACATTTTGTGTGAAATAATCTGCAACAAAGCAAGAGCACTATTCTCATTATATCTGCATTATTTACATCATTTGCCTCAAAGATTCAAGTTGGAAATGCATCGTTTTGTGCACAGAAAGGCCGTAATGCTTTCTTACCATGGGCGGTTAGGAGAGCCAAGGGGGCTGTACGCAGTCACAGCAATCCCTTTGGACTGACAGTATTTGATCAACTTTTCCTGGGTGAGGTATGGATGACATTCTATCTGCAAGCACAGAAATAGAGGCAGGTTGCACTGGGCTCCACAGCATCACATTTTAATTCCTCTTGGGTCACAGAAAATATGAACAAAAGACTCTCAATATCATGATTAAAATCTATTTTATAAAACTGTTATTCATGTCACAGCAATATCTAGAAGCCTAACACAGAGAATAGGGCATCCTCATGCTACATATTACACAAAGAGAGTAAGAAATAGATGAGAAGAGTGAAAGTGCTATCTGCATCAGGAATCAGGGAAATCAGTCTTCCTGGACTACTGCAGAGCAGGATTGCATCTTCAGAGAGGCAGCTCAGAATACCTGAGGTTTAAGTTTCTGCTCTGAGTCACCCAACCTCACCTCTCCCCAGGGAGTCTCCCTGATTCCTGAAGAAGCCTGGGGAGATGAGCTCCCCTAGGTCAGGTCAGATCATGTTGCTACCAGCCATTCAGGCAAGACGTCCTTTAACTGGAAACAACAGGAGCCTACCCAGGGATGCTGCTCAACTTGCCACAAGCCATGGTATGACCGCAGGGCTACGTCTACAGTGCATAATGTGGCACCATGCACATACGTGGCTGTTTCTAAATGCTATAGCTTTGCTACCAAGCATAGTGACATGAAATCCATGTACAGTAGCTTATTTAGACGTGAGCTAGATTAGGCAACTACTGTAACAACAGTATGTGGCACATGCAGACCCGTGGAGAAACAAGCTGGAGTCAAAGCCTGAAGTTCCTTAAACTGTTGAAGTTGGTGCAGCTTTTAATGTGAAGGTAGTTGGGTCCATCCCCACCACAACTTTATAACCCTCAATAAAATCTAAGTCCTATGTCCCCCTTGTGCTGAGCCTGGCCAGTGCACACACTAGCCCCAAGGCAGGCACTGCAGCACAAGCAGCACCGTGCCTGCACAGGACCTGGCGTGGGGATTTCCCTGGATGTTCCCAAGCCAGCAGAGATGGGCATTCACCACCCTCAGCCAAGTGCAAAGAAGTCACATATGGAAGAAAGTCAGAAGGTCCCGATGCCCCTGCTGTCCTGTGATTTCATTCATGAGGTATGTGGTGAGAATTTGTTATACATTTGTATACTTCAACCCTCCTTTTTATAATCAAGATCAGGGAAATGGTTTATTTTATGTTGAAAAATAAATAAGTCTAGTGAATGAGTTAGAGTATTCCTGTGTGTGCCCATGCCTGTGCAGCAGCTCGCAGTGGGGATTTTGCTGGTTATCCCAGGGCTAGCAGAAACGGGCCGTGGCAACTTGGGCTGTGACATCCAAGTTGTACTTGGGAGTGATAAAGAGCATGTGTAGCAGAAAGTCGCAAAGTCCTGTACAAGGTAATGGATATTTTCAGTGTTTTCCAGTGTCTAAAAATGTAATCTCATCTCTTTGATATTACTGTAACATGAATAATCCATACTGTTTTGTATGATATTGCTCTCAAATCTCCACTGCATTATATACACATAAGTCTACAAAAAATTCATCTGTTGAGATCCCTGTCAGCTAAAAACCATCAAGACTGACACCGTACCAAAGCCTTGCATATCACAGGCAGCACTGACTTGAAGGCACCAAAAACTATTTAAAGGTCATAGAAGAAGTCAATTTTAGAGCTGAAGTTTAGCATGACTATATTTAGCAATATTTCAAGGTCAGTTGACATCAATGGAAATAAAAATCTTACCTGGTTATTTACTGGCTTGTATTTCAGTCCCGGCTTGTTCAAGATTCTTTCGATCTGCTCATGGTTAAAGTTGGAGATGCCAATGGCTTTTACCAGACCACAGTCCACCAGCTCTTCCATGGCCTAATGAGTAATGACAACCAATGTGTGTTTATGAGGTGATATTACTGTCGACTACACTATTTTATTTCCCTAAAACTAGTGACAAACTCTTGTGGTTTAACCTAACCGGCAACTAAGTATCACGCAGCTGCTCGCTCCTCCACCCCCCTCCTCCCAGTATGATAGGAAGGAGAATCGGAAAAAAGGTAAAACCCATGGGTTGAGATAAGAACAGTTTAATAATTGAAATACAATAATAATATTAATAATAATTGTCATGAAAAGGGAGATAACAATGAGAGAAAGAGGAATAAAACCCAAGAAAGACAAGTGATTCACAATA